GGATGTTCGCACACTCTGCGTTAGGTTAGGGCAGCAGCACAGCCTGAACCACTTTGGTCAACCTGCCCCAGCAGCTCTTACTATCAGAAGATAAACAGCACAAAAACAACAAGGTATTTACATTCACTTGGCAAGGAAGCATCAGCTAGTTTGCGTCTCGTTTGCATGTGTACTGTGGATTTTTACAAGCGTGGAAACAAGTCAAACATCTGTGAACCCCACACAGTTTTCCACATGCCCTGTCTACTATTTACTATTTTTCTTTTGTTTCTACTCCTCCTAAGCCCATTAAACAGAAGTCAAAGCGAATACGCAGAAAAGTGGAGCTAATGAGGAGGGTTGGTGATTTTTAAATTGTTTATTTTTTTTTCTTTTTCCAGAAAAAAAATGAAGAGAGAAGTAAAAGCCGGAGTCGACTTCATTAAGCGCCTGGTGGTGGCCCGAGGGAAGCTTGATGAAGCCAAAGCAGAGCTGTTCTCTCAGAAGCTGCAGAAACTTTTATGTGACAAATACTGTGACCATTGGTATCCTGACAGCCCTAGCAAAGGCCAGGCTTACAGGTAGGCATCATTGTAAAGTCTACTTTCCAAAATATTCAGAATTGAAGCTGATTTGTTCTGGAGGATCAGGTTTTCTATACTAATATTGATGCAAACATTGACAGATGTATCCGGATAAACAACGGTGGACCTTGTGATGAGGTGGTGCTTAAGGCCTGTGAGGAGAGCGAGCTCACGCCCAGCAAACTCGGGCTTTCACCAGAGATAACGCTTTGGATCGACCCACTGGAGGTGTCTGTAAGGTGAGTCACCGGCTGGCCTGTTCTGGCAACACACACCACAGACAGACATGTTGCAACTGTGAGAGTTCAAGCAAGAATTATGAGTGAGTCATGGCAGGTGTGTATTCCCTGAGGGAAGGTGTTTTGAATCATTAATGTAGAACTAGAAGTGACTGTTTTTTTTTTAATGACTCATTTTCTCTTTCTCAGATCTGGGGAAAACAGCAGACCATTTACAGTAACTCAGTTCAGCAAAGAAGAGGAGACCACAGAAGGCCAGGACGACTCCTCCGTAACCCTAGACACGTCTGATTACCACTCAGCTACCTCGTCAGACTGCAGCTCTGCCTCCTCCAGCGACACAGAGGAGGAAGCCAAGGATGGAGAGCTGAAGGAGCAGAGGAAACTGGCGGAGCACGCAAAAAAGGAGGCAGCAGAAAGCAACGCCTCCACAGTGACGATGGTGCCCAGGATCCGCAAGGGGAACGGAGACGCACAGAATAAAGTCAAATACGTCAGAAAGAAGGTAATTTTTTGTTTTAAAGACATTCTATTGATTTGTAGCTTAAGGATCTGATGAGGCCGTTTGTCTGTGCTGTAGAGCTTCATTTTTGTCTGAAAAAAAAAAATGCTAAGCATGTTCTCTCATTATGGGGGTGGGGCACTTATTGGTACATAAAGATCAGCTGCCATAATTACTTAATAATTACATAATTACTTACTTATGACAAAACTTTGGAATCCATTTGGAAAGCTGATCTATCTCCTCTGTTCTGAATGGATCAATGGGCCTTTTCAATTGCTGCTCAAACTTCTAAAATAAAATAAGTTTTGAGTGTGTCATCCCGTCTCCTATGAATTGACCCATGGCGTGTGACGGAGAGTTAAAACATGCCTAGAAACTGATTTACAGAGAAGGAAATTCTGGGAGCCCCATATGGCCGTGTTATCTCTGCTACACCATGCAAATGAGGAAAAAGGTCACGTTTGTTGCAGGACATTTTTACATGTGGCATCTATGTGAGATGAGCGTAGTCCAAATGTCTTATCTGATTATGCATGCAAAAAAAAGTGCTATTTGTCTTTTTATTTGTTTTTTTCTTAACACGCTGCTATTAAAACAAATTTTATTGATTTTGGATATGAAAACTACAATGAGTTATGTTTCTTCATAAACAATTTTATGAATCCCTAAAAGGAAAAAAAAAATATTTTTTTTTTTTTTTTCGGTCAGTCAGCATTTAGTCAAACTCTCAAAGTTTTTTGTTTTCTTTTTAAATAAAGGGAAATTTGCTGATCTCTCATACCCTCTCCTATCTGTTTATTAACCAGGTTCCAGCCAGCCTCCAGTACTTCTACCATCCCACACCGGTTTGGTCCCAGTATAAGAAGGGCGCTCCGGTGTTTCTGACCACAGTGTGTGCTTCCACAACGACGCCTCCTCCACCCCAGCAGGTTTTTGGTTACTACATCGTGCCGCAGCCGTCTCCACAGTTCATTCTGCCTCAGGCCGCCATGCAGCCGTGGGGAGCAGTGAAGGGTTAAAGCGTCCCATCGGTGCGGGGAGGGAGGGGTTAAGCCAGGCGGAGCATTATGCCTCTCGTTTAACTGAGCCATGTAGTGAAGAGTGTTTGAGTTTAGCTACAATAGTGCTACAAAGAGTACATTTTTAAAAATTATCATGTTTAAAGCCATGTCTTGCACATTCTTTAATTCCTCTGCTAACTTGTAGTTTTTATACCACTGAACAAGAGCTATGACTTTTTAATCTGCTAGTGTCTCTGCACTGCATCTTTTTTGTAAAATTACTTAATTTATTTAGAATAACCTCAATCACAGAATACGTGGACCATCTCAGGAACTCTCAGCAATATGCTTTATGCCAAAGAAATTTATAATGTAATGATCTTTACCAAACAAGGTTCTCTCTGCACATGATACTGCTAATCTTTGTAAAATGCAATTCAGGGTCTCCATGTATTTTCCTTACAATGGCAATTCTGTATATTAAGACTATGATTTCTACTAAACATCTTGTGTATATATATATATAAGAACTTGCATATGCACGCTTTCTAAACTTTGTATTTTGTAATTTATTTGCACACCAGTAGATGGTGCTCAAGTTGCATTTATTTATAGTCCGCTATGTTTTTCATGATGATCAGCATCTGTATAATGCCATACATTACCTCTTTCTCATTGCTTTGCTTTTTAAATTATTGTAAATTATAATTATCTGCTGCAGCTATATAAAAGGATGCAAACACCTGCTTTACTCACTAAACTCTGTGACGACTTGGATGAATATTTATTCAGTGTCTTGACAGTTTTAAGCTTGTGTTCATTGATTTGTTTACCATTCAAAAGTACCTCTTTTACTGCAGATTAAAACAAACTTTTACTCAAATGTTTGGCCTGTGATTTTTCAGACTCATAGCTCCCACAGCAAGGCGTTGTGTGTTTTCTTCCTCAAGTATTTTTCAAGAGGACACCTGTTAGTCTGAACTCAAACTCATCCTGTGTTGCAGAAGTTTTCATCAGGAGCAGGATGCTACAGGGGAAAGACTCCCTTGTGTTTGGCATGTCAAGCCAAGGCCATTATGTTATTCTTCCGTCTTTCTCTTGGAAGGCTGGGCTTCAAAATGTATTCTCTGGATATGACCGAGTCAATAAATAGATCAAGCTACTTTTAGATTATTTTGAGTTTCTATAAATAAGCAGTAAGACATACTGGTTCTATTGGCACCATTTCACTTTGCCTGATCTCAGATGGAAATAATCTACAGGATCTTAATGTGTACCACACTGTTATTTGCTGGCTTTTATAATTCAACTTTAAGTGGCATCTGTTTGTATTAAGAATTTTACCAGAATTTTGTTTCAAGATCTTCCAAATGTAACAAAACCAAATCTGATCACCTTCGGTGAAAGCAAAGATAACTTAGAGCCTTCAGACAGTGTTACCATGTGTTTTGTCTTGAGATTAAAGCTCTCCTTGCCTGGACTGTTTTGCCTGGAAGTTATGCAGTTATTCCATACTCTATTGATTTATAGATACTAGTTGAGCAGTCTTCTTGGAGAGGATTAAAACTTGGTATGATCCTTAAAAGATCTCCATATTTATCCTTGCATTTCTGATGTGTTTATTGGTTTTTATTCACAATAATACAATTAATCTCACATTGGAGAAATTTACCTCTGCATTTAACCCATCCCATGGGAGCAATCGGGGTTAAGGGTCTTGCTCAGAGAGAGAGTGGGGCTTGAAATCAGAACCTCAGGAATCCAAGCTCTATGCCCTACACTGAAAAAAGTGTAACATGTAACTTCATTCAAACTAATGCCTGGGAACTTTCTGCATGGAGTTTGCATGTTCTCCCTGAGCATGCGTGGGTTCTCTCTGGGTACTCCGGCTTCCTCCCACAGTACAAAAACATGATTGTTAGGTTAATTGGCTTCTCTAAATTCTCCATAGGTGTGATTGTGTGTGTGAATGGTTGTGTTGTCCTGCGATGGACTGGAAACCTGTCCAGGGTGTATCGCGTTTGTAAAATAGGAAATGGAAATCACTTTTGAAGTAAAGTCAGACGGTATGTGAAAAATCTAATTTGGTTATATTTAAATGAACTGGTTTCTATACAAACATTAATTTTTGTTTATTTAGTTAAAAGTAGGTATATGAGGTTGGTCCAATGTCAATTTATTAGTTTGGTTCATCATTTGAAATGTTCAGAAAATCATTTGGAACAGGGCAAAGATTTTAAGTTGTGTCAAGTGCAATATTATTGTTTACATCAACATAATATAATCAGTTCATAACAACCGATTAAATTCGGATTCTGTGAAGTCAAATATTTTAGATCTGACATCTGGACATCATTTTTTTTAGTTTGAGCAAGGTTATACTTCCAGTGTAACCAGGACTCCACTCCCTCTACCTCTTGTCTAAAGAGGTAAGCAACCTCTTCTGTACAGACAGTAATAAGAGCAAATCATTGCCCAGTTTTATTTGTAAAAATAGAAAACAGCTATATGTTATCATCCATTTAAGAGATATTGTGCTTTGTGTTTATACGCCAGAAAAAAACAAGGCATGACAGATGGTTGTGAAAACTTTTAAGCGCATCAGTACCTTTACAGGTCGCTCTGGTTCTTTCTTGCTTCTTTGATAAGTAGGCTAGCATATGAAACCTTGCAAACAGGCATGAAGATTCCACCCTCGCGTGCACCATTACGCGCTGACGCACGGTCTTAGAATAACAAGCAAATAAGAGCGCGCAGCCCTGTGCTGTGAGCAGATGGCGTCAGTGGGCATGACCGTGAGGCGCCGGGTTCCTTCAGCATCACCGATCGTTGCTATAACTCCGTAACTCCTGCAAGCAAGAGTCCACACAAGGTCCCATGCTCAGTTCCTCCGCCGGGCGATGCCTTCCCTTTCTCGGAGGGACTCAGCAGCGGAGAGCGGATGGGTGGATGACGGAGATGCTGAGAGAGGACGGGACGGCGGAGGTCTGGAGTGCGCCCTGGAGATGGAGCTGACGGACCGCAGCCTGTCGAGGAAGATGGACTGCATGAACTGCGACGACCTGCTCCATCGAAACTGCGCGGAGTCCGCAGAGGTTTCGGTGCCGCTGTCCACCATGGGGAAGCGGGTGACTCACATGGAAGGAGACGACCTGTGCAGACTGATAGACAGAAAGTTCCTGATAGAGGACAAGAAGCGCCTGTGCGCGCTGGCTCTGGGCACCGCTCTGCTGGGGATCCTACTGATGATTGTCCACGCAGAAATATGCCCCTATGTTAATGAACCGGTAGGTTGGACACACTATATTATGATGAGTTAACAGTGTGTTTAACTATCTATACAAGCATCCTTCTATTATTTGATTTTTAACCGATGCTCAGTAGGTAAACTCATGTATATTGGGATAAAATTAAATATAGCCTGTTATTAACCCCCCTCTCTTGAGACTGAGTAATATGTCAATTTATGTGCTTAGAAGTGTCACATTATAGATACCTTCCATGAGTAAGGCAAAAATGTTTACAATATTATAAACATTATTATTATATAAAAATATTAATACATTTTTTATAGTCGAAATCATTTAAAGCCCATTAAAGAAAACAACTAGGACTGGGGTCAGTTGCATTATTTATTTAATTAATTTATTTTGTAAATAAAATGTAAAAAACACATACATCTCGCTGATGATTTTTACTATTGTTATTGGAAAAATCTGTGAGCATATTAACTTTTATTTTGTCCATTTTCAATAAAAGCATTTATTATGAAGCATTTACCTTTGAGAGAACCACCACAAATGTACCTTTTCCAAAACCACTTTGGAAAACCACAACTTAAAAAATATATATCTGTATATATCCAACTATAAATCTACCATTAATACCACATTGTCTACTTAGGTAAAGGACAATTAAATGTTGCATCTATTAAGATCATGACATCACAAAAGGAGACTTGACTAAAGCACTTTACACTACATTCATTCATTCACAAACACTAATGGTGGCGAGCATTAGAGCCAGCTGCCCTGGGGCTCACTGACAGAAGCAAGGCTACCATGCACTGCTGCCCACTCTGACCACCACCAGTAGAGAATGCAGGTAAAACGTGTTGCCCAAGGAGACAACAGCACTGAAAGCCGGAGCTCAAACCGACAACCCTCCATTGCAGTGCAAACTCCTGCAGCCGACGCCACTGTCGCCCCTATATGTTATATAAATACATTGTAAATATGTAAATATTATTCTAAATATATATTCTAAATATGTAAATATATAGATAAATATTTGCCTTTTTACAGCCTTGATAAAACCTTGCACTTGCTAAACTCTGTGATCTTGATGCTAAACATATTAACTAAAAGTAAACCTTTCACTTGTTTAAACCATATAGGATTAAGCTAAATCACACAATCAGTGACAATAGCATAACAAAAACAGTAGTGTGCAGTATGAACATCACTCTAGCTGGTATCTGATTGGAGGAAAATGACCTGTTTTATGAATGTCCCAGTTTCCCTATCCATGCGGACCTATTATTTGTATGACGTTAGAATTGTAAAAAGTACAACAAAACGTGCAATAAGTAACAACCTTTTAACTGTATTTCTTGTGATGATGGCAACGGTCACCTTGTTTGGAGGGAAGCCTATCATTCTACTTCAATAGAATGAATGAATGACTATCCCGTAAAATCACAAATGAAACACATGCAAACATTTTGTATAATCAATGATTTTTATAATGTAGTAGTTCTGTTTTAAAAGGGGTGTGAAGAGGAAACACCTTTTCAATCATACTCATTCTCCTTCCTATCGTCCTTAGCACTAGCAGTCTTCCTAATTCCTTACTTTACTTTATTTAGTCCATACATATTAACTGTCATGATTTTATCTAAGGCTCGGACCCACATGCACTGACACCAAACAGAGAGACACGGATGAAGAGTTTGACAGCTTTTATTGAAGATGTTAAGCTCGGTGCAGAGTTTCCCTGAACTCTGCTTAGCCAGAACTGGAAGGCGAGGGGAAGACAGACTGTTAGTTAAGGCTCAGTGGGAAATTTAATTCGTTGATCTTGAAGGAGAGGATCTGATTGTTGACTCACGTTTCCAGAGAAGTGAAGGATCCTTGACTCCAAGCTGTGTGTTGGTTTTCCAGTGTATGTCTGATTCGGCAGAGGGCGGAACAGGGTTTACCCAGAACTCGGACGGTGTAGGGGAACGGAGAAGCTGATTGCCACTCAGATTTCCTGTTGTACTTGAATGGGTCGTGGTGAAGATGATTCCCTTGCTCAGAGAGTAATTTCAACGTCCTCAAAAAGGAGACTGGATCCAGACCTCCTGTTTGAATCCCAGGCTCAGTTTAAGACTGATCCCTCCTGGGAGAGGAGGTCCGAAAAGGTCCAGTTTGCAGGATGACTTCCTGCCGAGAGGCAAAGACAAAAAACAAAGTTAAAACTCTGGGAGACAAGAACTCAGTCTTACTCACAGAAAACTCAGCTTGGCTAGAGTACCATAAACTGGCAAACACTCTGGCGTCGAGGTAGTGGCAATCAGCAGCTTAAGAGAACTCCGTTAATGAGGTAACCATCAGCAGGTGTGTGAGGAGGCGAACCGGAACCAGGCGCCTCCTGTTGGTGGAAGGGAGACAAACACAAAAACAAACACACAGACAGGAGCCCTGACATTAAAGGTACACTATGCAACCGGTGTTGATTTTCCAGCGAGGCTCCCCCCAGAGGGCGAAAGTAAAAGTGCACTGTCGTAAATATGCTCAGCTGTTCCCCGTCAAGCCAGGCGCGGTTGTTTTGAGCTTAGCAGACAGGCGAACGCAACGAATGACTAATGCTGCGTTCACACCGCAGCTGGCGCGACAGAAGCAGCGAGTTTACATGCAAAGTCAATGGTTGACGCGCGTCAAGGCGCAGCAAAAGGTCCCGCGGCGCCTTTTTTAGCAGCAGGCCCAGCGCGTCTGAGCAGCTGAAAGGCGCGTTTAATCATCTGACGCAGGGAGAGAGACACAGCGCTGATGATCAGAGGCTATGATCTCTCCTCTTAAACAGTTTATTGACGCCTAAATTAACTTAAAATGCAGAAATCTGCCGGCAGAATATGCAGTTTGGATTATTTAGATGAAAAACACCTACCAGCTGCCGTGGTGAACCGCGAGGAGGTGACCCGGCCAGAGGCTGCTGATGAAGGGATCCCTTCTGTCTGCGCACCGCTGGTATGTGGGGGTCTGAGCGGCTCCGACAGAAAAAATATTGAAGGCAGGATAATAATCTGAATGAACTGACGGCACTGATTACGTTTTCAGGTGTATTTTCTCATTTAAACACATATTAAAACTACTTTATTCCCACTGATCACAGCAAATATAGCTGCAAGGCAGAGAAAGGATAGTGAAGCTCCGCCCAACGCGCGTCAGAGCCACTTTTGCACCGCGCAGCCAGAGCAGCAAAGCTGCTTCAGCCGCGCGTCAGAACTAACTGGTACAGGCAGCAAAAATGAAGCAGCAGACGCGATTTTGCTGCTTTTGCTGCGTGAACGTAGCATAACTGCACAAAGATCGCCACTGTGCTAGCAACGAGAATGCTTTTAACTGGGGGGGTGTAGCAGTTCTCGCCGTAAAGCAAGACTGACTCTCACGAGACTTCTGAGCCTGTGGGTGCGGGTCGGTGCTCCTGCAATTGCAAGTGCAGTATTTCCCCCACAGACCACCAGGGCGGCCGAGAATACCTTTGTTCGTCCTGAAATGACTCATTTAATCATCCAAAACGTTATGGAACACATTAATTAACTGAAAAATGTTGCATAGTGTGCCTTTAACATCTATTAACCAGATTTGATGTTTATTACAGTTAGGAATGAGTATGATGGATTAATGTGGTCATGTAAGCCAGCCTTATAAACTATCCTAATGGCTCTTTTCTCCAGCATGCATAGCAGTTTTAGTGATGTTCTGCAGTTGCTACCCCAGATTTCTACACAATAGCTTATGAATGCTAAAATCAAGTAACTGTGGAGATTATGTATTGATTTATAAATAAGGAATTGTTTTGTTTTACAAAGAATTATGATACTTGATGTGAGGTTTCTAGTAGATATAGTAGTCAATAATACCACCGAAAATTTTATTTAATTTACTTATTTCACCTTTACAGCTTTTACACATATATATTTTTTTCATAATTTTTAAATTACATGAACTTTGTTTTTCCCACATTCAAAGACATTTTGTCACACCAGATTTTTAGCCTCTGGAATTATATGTAAATTCCTTTATCGTCCCACCAAAATATATGTATCATCTGCATGCAAATCTAACAGTAAAACATTTGAAACCTTACATGTTATTTATGTAAAGTATTGGTCCCCATGTCCTAGCACAGGCATCCCCAAACTCAGTCCTCAAGGCCCCCTGTCTTGCAGGTTTTAGAGGTTTCTCTGCTTCAGCACAGCTGGTTATAATGATTGCACTAGACCAAAAGCCTGTTAATTAGCTTTCAATTAAAATCAGCTGTGCTGGAGCAAGGAAACCTCTAAAACCTGCAGGACAGGGGGCCTTGAGGACCGAGTATGGGGATGCCTGTCCTAGCATGATGCCTGATACTCACAAATTTTCACTAGTTGCTATCAATATAGTTCTTTTTAGATCCACCCACAGTGGTTGGTTCATGCTCAGTTGTTTCAGTATATATTCGTTTTACTATGAGATGGTAATGTTTTCCTATTAATTAATTACATACTAACCTTTATCTTTACAGGAATGATAAATGCAGCACATGAAATGAAGAACATTGAAAGTGAATCATAAATGTATGTGTTCTGAAGAATAATAAACTTTGAATGCATTCCGTTATATTTGAAAACATCAACACCACATTTATTGATATCTTCAAGCAACCGCTAAATTAAAGTGCAAGTAGTAGTCATATACATACTAACGGTTATGGGGGTTTTGGGATGTCGCCAATCAGTCATCATTATTGTAGGAAATTTTATTCTTTTTGCTTTCTTTTTACCTGAAATAATTTTTTGAATTTAGAGAGGCATTTAAATGTAAAGGTTTTAAGGCATTACAGATCTTAAGTTAGAAATGGATATGTAAAGCCCTTTTAGTTTGATTATGATTTATATTAGTCTTAATTCTATTTCAAAATTATTTATTTAATGTGTTTTAATGTTGCCTCGATAAGATTAGAAACAAATACAATTAGTTAATTTTTTTCTGTAAAGAGAAGAGAAAATTTAGCAAATTGTCACAGTTGGTTAAAAATAATT